GCCACTTTGACAGCAGCAACACAGAGGGAGCACTCCTGGTCGATGCTACCAACGCGTTCAACTCCCTGAACCGTGCAGCTATGCTCCACAACATCCACCTACTATGTCCATCAATAGCAACAACTTCGAAAAACTTTTACCGCAGCACAGTACCTCTCCACGTCAGCGGTACGGTCATCTGGTCTGCTGAAGGCACCACGCAAGGCTGCCCACTAGCCATGCCCCTCTACGCTATTGCCATGACGCCACTCGTCACTACCCTCGCCACCGCCCTTATGGATGACTCTCCAGCTGGCACGGTGCATGACCGCGAATCACCTGAGAGACCAGCCGGCGTCGGTGCGTCCGCTGCTCGACCGGACGCCTCGACCATCCAGCTATGGTATGCCGATGACGCGGGAGCCGCTGGCCTGCTGCAGCGCCTTCGCACCTGGTGGGATCTGTCAACTTGGCCCAGCATTCGGCTACTATCCAAACGCTGCCAAGACTTGGCTGGTTGTCAAGCCCGAGCATCTCGATGCTGCCAACGCTGCATTCGCCGACACCGATGTCCACATCACCACTGAGGGCCGCCCCTACCTGGGTGCTCCTCTGGGCTTGCAAGCCTTCAAGACAACATTTTGCAATGCTCGAGTGGAGGCTTGGGCATCTGAGATGCGTGAGCTGGCGAACGTGGCCGAGGCCGAGCCCCAAGCCGTGTATGCCGCACTGGTCTTTGGGTACCATCACCGCTGGACATTCCTGATGCGCGTGTCGAGCTGTGCACCAGACGTCTTTGAGCCTCTCGAGTCCTCTCTTCGCTCCGTCTTGTTGCCAGCTCTATTGGGTGTGCCAGTCGTCCCTGCCCCTCTACGCAGCCTCCTTGCTCTGCCTGTGCGTCATGGTGGTCTTGCAGTGCTCAATCCAGTTGAGGCTGCCCCGCAACAGCGGACAGCATCTCTGTCCATCACGAGCAGTCTCCAGCAACTTATCGCGGACCAGTCCTCCCTCTACAGCGTAGACCCAGCAGCCATTTGCGCCGCCAAGGTTGCTGCCAAGCAAGCCCAGTCTGTGACTACCAAGACCGTCCTGCAGACAGCTGGTCCAGAGGCCCTACCACCAATGCTTCTGGAGCACCTCCAGGCCAAGGGAACAGGTGCATGGCTGACCTGTCTTCCTGTTCGCGAGCATGGATACTCCCTCGACCGGCGGTCCTTCGTTGATGCCCTATGCATTCGGTATGGTCTCACCATCCACGATTCACCTACCGAGTGTCCATGCGGCCGGCCGTTCACCATCGACCACGCAATGATCTGCAAGTTGGGCGGCTATCCCATCAACCGGTACAACCATGTCCGCAACTACCTGGGCCAACTTCTCTCTCAAGTGTCTGAGGATGTGCAGCTGGAGCCACCGCTGCAACCTCTTCCGACGGTCCGCACGTTTGACCATGGTCCTGCCCTGCTCAGTGCTCACTGCGGACGACGCCAGACCGGACATCAAGGCCAGGGGGTTTGGTCGGTACAGACTGATGCATTTTTGATGTAAGGGTGTTCTATCCCAACGCACAGTCGTACCGATCTCGCCCGCTGGCTGAGGTGTTCCAATGGCAGGAGCGTCAGAAGCAGTCGGCATACGGTGCCCGGATCCGGGAAGTTGAGCACGCGTCGTTCACCCCGATCGTCCTGTCTTCTGCTGGTGCCCTGGCGAAGGAGGCTACCCGGTTCCTGAAGCTGCTCGGAACGAAGCTCTCCACCAAGCTCTCGCAGCCTTGTCCCCTCGTGATGGGAAAGCTGCGGACGGACCTGGCTTTCAGCCTTGTCCGCGACTCCATTCTGATGGTTCGTGGGAGTCGCCGTGCATTCCGTGCACCTGGTCTGGCGGCGGATGTGGATGCTGTTTCTGTGGAGGCCCGCATTCCCGCCACTACGTGACGCTAAGTCCTCCTGGGGTTTGCCGCTCTCCGGTCCTCTTTCATCCCGTTCTCCCCTCTTTTTTGGGGATTCTTTGTACTTCGTCTTTCTTGTTTTTCTTGTTCCTTTGTATTTTGTAGGACCGATTTTTGGTGTACTGATTTCGGTTGTTGTTGTGTCTGACTCTATTCCCAATATCTAATTCTGTGGTTGGCTTTTTATATTTTTTTATTTTTTTATAAAATATATAAAAATAAAATAAAATGTAAAAGAGAAAAGGACATATGGATACGAGTTAAGAGTAACTCTCCATCACTGTAACATGATACTATATACAGTCAGAAAGTGCAATAACTAGGCACAAAACTGACAGAGTACTGAGACATTCGACGTCCTGACACCTAACTTCAACACATCTCCGTAGCGCTAACCGACAGCCTTCCAACTTGGAAGGTTCAAGGTTATGGAAAGACCAAAGAGGGGAAGGCAAGCGCAACGAAAACAAGCAAAAGCTACGGTCCCAACGGAACAAAGAATGTCGATTGTTACTGGACGATGACGAGACCAGTACGATATTTGACAAAGCGGTCTAACTACAATTCGAAGCAGCAAAGCAGCACACCACCCAACTTGGGTGGGTCATAAATATCAAAGATAAGTAAAGAAAGGGAAGCTTTGCGAAAACGAATTGTACAAGCCGAAAGCCAAACTCCTACAGTACTCCTCATGCATGACATTGTGATGGACTAGTTGACTACAAAACAAGTTGTTTCACACGACGTACGTTTCGCCGCATGGTTCGTGACGGCTCATCAGGTGTGCAATTTGAAACTCGGATGTTGAGCCATAAATAAATGTAAAAGAGAAAAGGACACTTTTCTGAGGCATTCGACGTCAAATATCGTACTGGTCTCGTCATCGTCCAGTAACAATCGACATTCTTTGTTCCGTTGGGACCGTAGCTTTTGCTTGTTTTCGTTGCGCTTGCCTTCCCCTCTTTGGTCTTTCCATAACCTTGAACCTTCCAAGTTGGAAGGCTGTCGGTTAGCGCTACGGAGATGTGTTGAAGTTAGGTGTCAGGACGTCGAATGTCTCAGTACTCTGTCAGTTTTGTGCCTAGTTATTGCACTTTCTGACTGTATATAGTATCATGTTACAGTGATGGAGAGTTACTCTTAACTCGTATCCATATGGCCTTTTCTCTTTTACATTTATTTATGGCTCAACATCCGAGTTTCAAATTGCACACCTGATGAGCCGTCACGAACCATGCGGCGAAACGTACGTCGTGTGAAACAACTTGTTTTGTAGTCAACTAGTCCATCACAATGTCATGCATGAGGAGTACTGTAGGAGTTTGGCTTTCGGCTTGTACAATTCGTTTTCGCAAAGCTTCCCTTTCTTTACTTATCTTTGATATTTATGACCCACCCAAGTTGGGTGGTGTGCTGCTTTGCTGCTTCGAATTGTAGTTAGACCGCTTTGTCAAATATCGTACTGGTCTCGTCATCGTCCAGTAACAATCGACATTCTTTGTTCCGTTGGGACCGTAGCTTTTGCTTGTTTTCGTTGCGCTTGCCTTCCCCTCTTTGGTCTTTCCATAACCTTGAACCTTCCAAGTTGGAAGGCTGTCGGTTAGCGCTACGGAGATGTGTTGAAGTTAGGTGTCAGGACGTCGAATGTCTCAGTACTCTGTCAGTTTTGTGCCTAGTTATTGCACTTTCTGACTGTATATAGTATCATGTTACAGTGATGGAGAGTTACTCTTAACTCGTATCCATATGTCCTTTTCTCTTTTACATTTATTTATGGCTCAACATCCGAGTTTCAAATAAAATAAAATAATAATTAATATTTTCTAATTTTCTTTCACCGCCCACGGCGGCACAAAGTCCTTGGCTACAAAAAAAATAAAGTCTCTCCAAATCTCTCAAAACCAAACTTCAAACTCCTTTCCAAATTTTCGCCCAAGAGGGCATCTTCAGGGTTATGAGACTCCTGTGAACAAAACAACAATATAACTACAGAAAAAAAAAATAATAATTAACTGGTTTTGAGGGAAAAAGACAAACGGGAAAAGTCTGAAGAAAAAATTTGACTGTCACCACCAGGACTCGAACCAGATATAATAATAATGATATTAATAATAATCTTCACTAGTTTGAGGGAAAGAGACAAACGGGAAAAGTCTGAAGAAAAATTTGACTGTCACCACCAGGACTCAAACCAGGGACCCTCGCTTGTAGCTAGCGATGCTCTAACCACAGAGCTATGGTGTAGTCGTCATCCCAGCAGAGACTGTTCAACATTTTCTTCAGACTTCGTAGCTCACACTTCCTGTGGATCCACACAGGATAATAATAATAATATCAATAATAATTGGCTCCTGGGTTGTTCGCACACCGTGGCACTATGCCGGAAATTTGAGTTTTTCCGGCCTGGAAAGCCTGTCACTGAGGCGCAAGAACTTGTAAATCATGTCCTGACGGCCAGTATAGTGGCAGGAGTGTGTGGTCCAAATTTCACTCAAATCCATAGAGACACACCAAAGTTACGGTCAATTGAATGCCATATGAAATTTAAGGGTAGGCTGCACCCTTAAGTATTTCATCCTATTGTGTTTTGCACAATCAAGAGGAGGGGGATAGTGTAACCATTACACCTTCTTCTGCCTTCCTATCACTGCACCCCTATGTGCCCGCCTATCGCTGCACAGCTTGTGCGCGCCTATCACTACACAGCTTGTGCGCGCCTATCACTGCACAGCTTGTGCGCGCCTATCACTGCACAGTTTGTGCGCGCCTATCACTGCACAGCTTGTGCGCGCCTACCACTGCACAGCTTGTGCGCGCCTATCACTGCACTGCACAGCTTGTGCGCGCCTATCACTGCATGCACAGCTTGTGCGCGCCTATCACTTCACAGCTTGTGCGCGCCTATCACTGCACGACTTGTGCACGCTTATCACTGCACAGCTTGTGCGCACCTATCACCGCACAGCTTGTGCACGCCTCTAGCTCTGCACAGCTTGTGCGCGCCTATCACTGCACAGCTTGCGCGCGCCCCATCTCGAAACAATCCCTGCTGATATATAGGCCAGAGCGTTTTAGACAACATTCACTTTTTTCATGTCCTTTACAGTTCAGATTTTCAAATTGGCGTTTGTCCTTTCAGTGTAAAGTCAGACCTATTTGTTTGCCAAACAGCTTTGATCCGTTCCAGTGTCTAAGAGAAAGTGTTCGATTTTCAGATTTTAATCGGAGATGGCAGCTATACTGAAGTTAGTGAGTAACGACGGCGAGGTATTCGACGTGGAGGTCAAGGTCGCCTGCCAATCCAATTTACTCAAGGCCATGTTACAGGACACGGGCGATATCGCCGATGATGATGAGCCTGTGCCGTTGCCCCCTGTAAATGGCGCGACTTTGCGAAAGGTGATAGAATGGTGCACGCACTACCAGAACGAAAATTCAGTGGAAGGGGAAGATCCCCTAGATGGAAGTGAAAGTAGAACGGATAACATTGACAGCTGGGATAAAGAATTTTTGAAAGTAGACCAAAAAATGCTCTTTGAGCTCCTCGAAGCGGCGAATTACTTGGACATAAAGGTGAGACAATTGGTAGATGCTGTATGTCGTTTCGTATACTAGTATGCTGAATCGTGATTCTTGTCCAGCGAGTACTTTGATACAATGTATTGTGTTGTTGGGTTCTGTCTGCAACCGGCTGAGTGTTGTTGCCATGGATATGCACTTGTAGTTTCATTTTCAAATCAGGGTTGTGATAGGGTATGCACTTTCTCTCTGTCTCTCTTTCTTTCACTCTTTGCCTTCCTCTATCCTTCTACTGTTTCATCTCTCCGACTATCAATCTCATTATCTCTCTCGATCGGTCTCTCTTTCTTCTCAATCTCTCTTTCTCCGTCCCTCTCTCTCTCTCTCTCTCTCTCTCTGTCTCTCTCTGTCTCTCTCTGTCTCTCTCTGTCTCTCTCTGTCCCTCTCTGTCTTTCTCTGTCTCTCTCTGTCTCTCTCTGTCTCTTTCTGTCTCTCTCTCTCTCTCTGTCTCTCTCTCTCTCCCTCACTCCCTCACTCTCTTTATTTCTGTCCACTGTAGGGACTTTTGTATGCCACTTGCAAGACTGTCGCTAATATGATCAAAGGCAAGACTTCCGAGGAGATCAGGAAGAAATTCAACATCGTAAACGACTTCTCTTCCGATGAAGAGGAGGAGATCCGCAAGGAGAATGCATGGTGCGAAGACAAATAGGCATGCAGCCCTCGTTCCTGACATGAGTTTTCGACGTCCTGTCAGACAAGCGGAAGTGAATGGGCTCTTTTCCAGTAGGATGGCCTGTTTCCGGTCAGAGATTTCTTTTGTCGAATGCCTTCCGCAAACCTATGTCAGCAAACATGGTCGTCAATCAGTGGACACTGTGCTCACTACGCTCGAGTAGCGCTATTTGTAGGGGCATGTGCCGAAAGGCTTGTATTTGGTTGTTGTATCGTGGAGTCCAGTATCTGATGCCATCTCTTCCAAGTGTATGTTTGGGTATGGCGTGATGTGTGACGTTTATGGTGTGTGGTGCATGCACCTGTACGCGTTGTCCGAGCGTGAGAATCTGCTTCCGTCTTGTGTTAGATTGACTGTCAAGTGAATGCTGTACATGCACAGTGCTAGTTTGAACTGGTATTGAGGATCACGTGTGATTTGTTCGTGGTCTGGTTGTCTTGGTCATGTGTTCTGTACGTATTGCTCCTTGGTTGGTCGTGTAGATTATAAGGCTCTATATTACTGCTTGTTCTTTGTTGTTTCTTCGTGTCTTTTTCCGTGGGCTTTTCATCAAGTCTTGTTTTCGTCTTTCTCCTCCTGCTCTCTTTCCGTTTGCATGAGAAGTCAGAAACTATACCAAGTTGTTTGAGTTGTTATGTGACAGGGGCCGGGTGGAAAAGGCAATACTACTTCAGTTATCATCGTATTTAGGGAGAAATTTTGTTCCTGGAGTGTGTAGTATGTGGCATCTACAGGCAGGCAGGCATAGTGGGATGGTCTAAGACCATGATTGAGAAACAGAGGGTACCAGGTTCAAGTCCTGCTTGGAGGCGGAAGGAATTTTTCCAGCCGTTCTGCGACCCACAGTTAATTGGGAACTCGTGGCCTGGCACGAGGGAAACATGGATGCAGTGAATGGGATTTCGGTCTTTGGCAACTTTGTGGTGGGTCTGATCTACTCACCTCCCACCGCTTAGGAGCTGCATCTGCGCCTTGATCCAAGAGGGTGGTGGCGTTCCTGCGGATGCGGAAAACTGGGCCTTTGGCCGAGTTTCACGCGAACCGTGATTTTTTTTTACAGTCGCGCTAGGTGTAATCCGACATAAATGCAACGCTCTCGACCAGTTTCGGGAACATCCCTCTATCTGTACATGATGTGTATTGTTCACGTCCAGCCTCATTAGTGCCACTTCTAGGTCGTCAAGGGCTCTTCTCAGGGCGCCACATAACTTCATAAGCAACTTAGGGACGGATTGTACCTAGCGCAACTGTAGTTAGGCCTCCACCACACTAGGTACAAAACTGCGTTCAGCGTGTCACAAAGGAAACGGGCGTGAAATGCATGCTCAAGATATGGGAGGGATTAATCCTGGCTGCCAAGCAGATGGAATCGTACATTGGTGCAGGGATCGGGACGTTGAGGTCGTATCATGCAACATTTCAGAATCCAAATACTTTGGCACCGCTTTTGCACATGTGCTGATAGACGCAAAGGACATGGATACAGTCAGCAAACCCGACTTCTGGCCGTCAAATGTCTCTGCCCGACCCTGGAGATTCAAATCCGATGATGATCGCACTTCAGGCAGTGTAGACCAGCGTCGCTACTCAACAGACGAGAAACAATGACTGAAGTCAGATCAAATCTAAATCCTCTTGCCCAACCCTTTGTGCCCCACGCAAGTTCATCACACCCTTCCCTATTCTTCTATATCTATTGCTCATATTAATATTTGTAGTTTGCGAAATAATCTTTTCGTGTTGTCCAAGCTTGTCTGGGTCCCTAACTTAGACATTTTAGCAGTATCAGAAACATGGCTCGACAACAGCATCTCGGACTCAGAAGTCGACATCCGGGGGTTCCCAATGCACCATCTCGACAGAAAGTGCAATTACAACTGCTCCTGTACAAATGGAACACCTTGCCAAAAGCGCGGCGGTGTAGTGATTTACAGCAGGTTGCAACTTGGGTTTAAGCGGATGTTGATTCAGCACATCGACCTGGAAATGGTTTGGTTGCGTTCCAAAAAACGAGAAGCAGGTGAATCATTCCTCATTGGCTGTCTCTACAGGCCACCGTCCGCACCGGCGGCTTTTTGGCAATCTTTACAGCAAGTCATGTATGACATTCAGGGCGAAGATCTCATTCTGATGGGCGACTTAAATATTGATTTCTTGTCCCCTCAAACGCATCATTTTGACAATTTGAACACATACCTGCTACTTCCCCTTGATCTGAAGAATATGATTACGCACCCTACAAGGATCACACCTACATCTAAAACACTTCTCGACTGTGTACTAACGAACATGGATTGTGTTGAGCACGGAAGCGTTCACTCCTGTGAGTTCACCGATCATGAGTTTGTTCACACCAGTATTATTTTTCCGAAGTCAATTCCAACACAAGGACAAATATATCGAACCCGCCGCCGTGACTACAGTAAGGCCTCTGCCTCTGATCTCTCTCATTTATTGTCAATTTCTGATCTCGGATCCTTCTCGTCCCCGTCGGTCGATGTAATGCTAGAAGAGTGGCAAGGAAAATTTGAAGACGCCTTGGATGTGGTTGCACCCTACATAATATCACGGAGACAATCCCCTGGAAAAAGGAAGAAGTGCCCATTCATGACACCGGAATTACTAGCTCTCATTAGGCGACGTAAAACCGTCTACAGAAAGTACCGCTCGTCTGACTGCAGTAGTACGGTTCTACAGAAGGAGTTCAAAGTTTTGCGCAGCAAATGCAATAACCTTTATCGCCAACTGCGAAATGCCCACTTGTGCTCCATCTGTGACGATTACCGGCGAGATCCTAGGCGTCTTTGGAGCACCATCAACTCAGTCACCCTGCGCACAAACCCAAGAACTGAGCCTCTCGTCCAGGCAGATACCTTGAACAGGTATTTCCATAGTATTGTGTCAGATCCGAACCCGGCTTATGTTGTTCCAAGTGGTACCTCAAGATCGTGTGACTTGCACGAGTTTCGCCCTATTTCTGAGGATGAGGTACTTCGGCACCTTCAGAAACTCGACGGTACGAAAGCGCCTGGGCCAGATGGTCTCCTCCCGAGCATCCTGAAGGCCGTTGCACCAGTCATCGCCTTCTCTCTCACCCTAATATTTAATACCTCTTTGTGCACTGCTGTGTTCCCGACACAATTCAAGTTGGCTAATGACACGCCGATATTGAAATCCCGTATGGGCGATCCTACTTCTCCTTCGAACTATCGTCCTGTGTCACTCACGTCGATTCTGGCTAAGACTCTGGAACGCCTGGTTCTAAATCAGTTAAGAGACAGTTTGACCATCGAAAATCACCTCCACGATCACCAATTTGAGTTCCGACCAGCTCGTTCCACGACACAACTGCTCACACTTGCTGTAAATAATTGGAAACTGGCCCAGGATCGCGGAGAGACTACCAGTGTAGCCTTTGTCGATCTCAGCAAGGCGTTTGATCGCGTCCAGCATCAACAGTTACTCGTTGCGCTCCATGGCATGGGTGTTCATGCAAGCGCCCTGCGTTGGTTTGCGTCGTACCTTGCCGGGAGATCTCAGCGTGTCGTCACGCAAGCCAGCCAGTCTTTAAGTCTTGCAGTGTCTCGAGGAGTTCCTCAGGGAAGTATTTTAGGCCCTACCCTCTTTAATGTCTACCTGAGGGACCTTCCCCGGCTTGCGGAGACAGTGGGTTCAAAATTACTGATGTTCGCAGATGACAAGACAGTCTACTCTAGTGATCCGTCGAAGGCGCGTTCCGAAGCCAAGTTGTCATCGGCACTGGAGATACTAAACAACCACCTTGGCTCCATTGGTATGCAGATAAATACCGACAAAACCGTTGTCATGCAAATCCATCCCAAACGTGCCACAGGGAGTCAGCAACAACAACAAAGGCAACAACTGCAAATCACCATGTCAAATGTTACGCTAGGGGAAGTGGAAAGCACCAGATGCTTGGGAGGCGTTGTTGACAATAAGCTGTCCTTTGACCAACACATTAACAATGTCGTCCGGAAAGCCTCACGGAAGATCGGTGTACTGCGTCGATCTTTCCGCCAGATGAACCTGTTTGCCCGCCGTACTTTCGTTGTCGGTGTTATTCAGCCTGATCTAGAATATGCTCTCCCTGTATACCTTTCGTATATATCTGCTTAAAATAGAAACAAGCTAGCCTCACTCCACCGGCGCGCTGTACGAGTTGCTTGTGGCGCATCACCCCAAGCTAATATCACGCCACTTCTTCACCACCTCAATGTTTCCTCTTTCCAATATCGATCAGTATTTTTGTTCCTTGTATTCATTTTCCACTGTTACTGTATTAAGCCGGCTGTTTGCTTGCAGTCCCTCTTTCCCATCTGTACGTCTACCCGAACTACTCGCGGCTCTACAAATCATAACATGAGTATCAATCGCTTTAGATCTATGTCTGGCTTTCTGTCCTTTTCAAGTAAATCGGCTCTTGTTTGGAATTATTTACCAGACGACCTGAAGTCCTGCACTACTATCGCAGATTTCCGCGTCAAATTGGCTATTTGGCTAAAAGACAGCTTAACTCTTAATCATTGTTGTGATTTGCTTTCAAGCCATGTGCATAATCAGTAACTTGATGTTGCTGTTTTTTTGTTTTTTTTGTTTTTTTGGTTTCCCGTTCTCGGGGCCTTCTATTCGGTACTCTTTGTAGTTGTACTTCTGTACTGTTGAGCTATCCAAATTCAAATAAACATTAAAAAAAAAAAAGATATGTCTTGTAAAACGCGACGTTTTCGGAGAATAAATAAGTTTGAAAATTGTCGCGTCACCACGTTGCAACATAGCCAATTTCCTTACCCACGACGGAAAGCGCCTCCTCCAGCTACAACACCAGGTAGAGCTCCAGACGGTCAGTATGCCAAACAGCGCAGTACCTTTTTGATAATAAATTGTCACTGGCAACCCTTGTCACTCCAAACAGCAAGTACTTCCTTCCCTGAGTGACTCGAATTAAACTAGCAGCAAAGTTCTGGAAAATTGCAAAATAATAGTGAACAAATCTCGATTTGTGTGATCGAAGCATTTTTGCGTGCCGTGCGCCGGCTAGGCACCGGCGGATAATGTCGGCAGAAAAATAGGCAGAATTCGGTAAATTTTCTGGTAAGTTTCATGCATGTATCTTCCTTCTGACGCCTGCTGCATTGTCGTTCCTGTTACTCAATTTACTGGTTTTCACCGCTATTCGGCAGCTGCTGCGAGTTAATAAGCTATTAGCCAACGGTCCAAAGCTAACAACAGTACCTGTGACTCCTTGGAAGGGTATCGGAGCCGTGATCAACCATAATCGGCCACCGTCGAGAAGTCGGCCTTGTACGAAGGAGCCTCAAGTGTTCGGTGGCGAGGCAAACTGGTTCAAGGTGTGGTCTTTCGCTATCGAATTGGCTCTCAAGTCCCTGGAATTAGGCAGTTCAGATAGAAAAGTGAACTATGCCGCTAGTTTCCTTGTAGGCAACGCTCGCCTTTGGCTCATCTCTTCCCTGGAAGCTGAAACCTTTCCTGACTGGCCGTCACTAAGAGATGCGCTTGCTAAGGTATACGGTCCAAGCTTTCAGATTCCTGAGTTGGCCAAGCACTCAAGAGCGCTGCTGTTCACCAACGGGGTGATGTCCGAGAACAGATAACTCGTGACCATTTGAAAACCTTGTCAACGGCCATACAGTCAGCTCTAACCTGCGTCGCTGTTAGTTAC